TTTCTAAAACTTAATATGAAGAGTGGTGGAGTGTGTAGGGTGTGTGCACTAGGGTTAATTATTAAGTTCGATGACCTTTTTTGTCTTTTTACACAATAATAAAACTTACAGCTTAATGATTTAAGTATTGGGGTGAACAAAGAGAAGTGCGGGGTTTAAATAGAAAATCTCAAAATAGATACACCATGCTCTTCTTTTTTCATTTTTTTGTTAAGATTAATCAGTCGGACACCCTATTTTTGAGTTTCCACAAATTAGAAAACATCTAATATTACAACACCCTACACTAAACATATCATTACCAAAAATATCACCAATCCACAACTGAATCGGTTAAGATCTGCCTCTCTGTCTCTCTAATGTGTCCACCTTTCCTCTCATCTCTCCCCATCCCTCATCCCACTTCTCCCTTCATTTCCATTGAGAAAATAAGGGAAACCCCCCAGAAAAAAAAGCCTCATCAAGAAAAAAAACCGCCTCTACCACCCCCGCCGGAGACGCATTCGATTACCAACAACACATCAACCCAAAAAGAAATTATCATGAGTAGTATTAGCAACCATACTCATCATCAAATCCCAACACCAACAACACCTACTACCACAAAAGGTAACGGCAACGCCCAAGCTTGCGCTGCTTGCAAATACCAACGCAGGAAGTGCGCTCCTGATTGCATTCTCGCCCCTTTTTTCCCTCACGATCGCCAACGCCAGTTCCTCAACGCTCATAAATTGTTTGGCGTCAGCAACATCACAAAAATTATCAAACACCTTAATCTATCCGACAAGGAAGAGGCCATGCGCACCATCATCTTCCAGTCTGATATTCGAGCCAACGATCCTGTTGGCGGGTGCTACAGAATCATTCGGGAGCTGCAGCGTCTCATCGAGTATAACAAGGCGGAGCTCGACATTGTTCTTCACCAGCTAGCCATATGCAGAGCACAAGCACAGCAGCAGCAGCAGCAGCAGAACCAGATTCAAATCCCAGAAGTTGGAGATCAGAATTCATGTGATCAGTTGATTAATATGGACCCTTTGAGTTTTTACAACAACCAAGTTGCCCATTACCATTATGTTCAGCCTCATCCTCATGCATTGCCTGCTGTGCAACAAGAACAGCAGCAACAAGAAGTGCCCTATGTGCTTGTTCAAAATAACAATATTAATAGCCCTAATAGTAATAGCAATAACAATAATAATAACCCACATCAGCATTTGCATGAAGATATGAACATGTGGGCCATGCAAGATTCTATGTCTTCATTGGATATCAAGCATGGTGGTGGTATGAATGCCAATGATTGTGAAGATTTGAAGCCCTTTGTTGAGATTCCTTGTGATGATGATCAGATAAATGGGGAGGTCAGGTTCCAGCCTGAGGATATTGGTGATCATCAGCAGAGGTTTGTAGTACCAAACACAAAATTACTTATATCATCATAATGTTTCTTTTATCTTTTTTAAATGAAGGGAGAGTTGGGTCAGATTCAAGGGTAAAGTTTTACCGCTTGAGTTAGAAGCCCCTACATGATTTTAAATTATATGTAGCTAATCTTCTTTATGATTCATGAATTGAGTCAATAAATGACCCTTTTTTTTTTAATGTATTCAAGACTGGGTTGTTTAAGATATTTCTTGTGTTACCAACTAGTTGTTGGTGTGATGTTTTTCTTCTCGATGTTAAAAAAAGTTCCGAGTTTGAATCCCCTTTCTCTTAATAAAAAACCAATTTTCTTGCATTTGTTATGGAACAAATTCAAGAAGGCAATGTATGTGTGCCTCCAAATAGTACGAAACACAAAAGAATTAAAGCACATTCCACGTCCATGAAAACCGAACGCTCCATTAATTAAACCCAAAATAAAAAACTGGCCCAAACTCTAACCCAAGTGTAATTGGACTCAGAGTGTGAGCCAATGGGTTAGGGTTCTAACTCTGTTCCTCTTTCCGTACTCATAACCCAAAGTTAAGAAGAAATAAAAATTTTGCTCACCAGAAGTCTCTGAAAGCAAAAGAAATAAATATACTTAATGTAACTCAGTCGGGTGAGTTAATTGCCATTTATAAAGAAAATGGGAATTATCTACAAAGACAATACATCTAACCATCTTAGCAAAAATAACATATAATCTAAGCAATCACTTGTCACCTTTGAGAAGAAACTGGTATTGAAACTGGAGTTGAATGTATTATGTCTAGCCTATCTCACCATGCCTCACCCATAAGATTCAGCTCTTTGTCAACGTTCTGTTGAATGATTCTCTTATCGGGTATATAGCCCTCACTCTCCATTTGAAGCGCCAAGTCTTTGAGGATACCATGAATTAACTCCAAGCCTCCTTGCATAGTGTTCCCTGCTGAAAACATAAAGACTTTGTTCTTCACCTCAATCCAACTCTGCCCCCGGATTTTCTTCAATCCCTTTGTCTTTGCTGAGATCCTCACCTTTGCTGAGTCCTCCCATCTCCCGCTAGCAGCATAAATATTGGACAGCAGCATGTAGCTCCCGGTAATTTCTGAGTTCATGTTGAAAATGTGGGTGGCAGTTTCTTCTGCGATATCTGTATTTTTGTGCATCCTACAAGAATTGAGAAGGGCACCCCAAACACAGGCGTTGGGTTCCATTGGCATGTTTTTCACAATGTTGTTTCCTTCATGCAATAACCCAGCACGGCCAAGAAGATCAACCATGCACGCATAGTGCTCCATCTGGGGTTCTATACAATAAATTTCAATCATCTGATCAAAAAGGCGACAACCCTCAGTGACTAGCCCGACATGACTACAAGCAGAAAGAACAGCAATAAATGTTATGTTGTCTGGCTTGAATCCCAATTCGAGCATCTGGTAAAAAATTCTTAGAGCATTCTCACCAAGTCCATGCATCCCATACCCAGCAATCATAGTGTTCCATGATATCAAGTCCTTACTGTCAATATTCTCAAATACTAGATACCCTTGCTTAAAACTTCCACACTTTGTGTACATATTAACCAAGCCATTCCCAACCAAAATGTTAGCTTGCATCAAAGCCCTAACCACATGACCATGAATTTCCTTACCAAGATTCAGTACTGCTAATTCAGCACAAACAGATAAAACACTGGATATAGTGACAGAATTGGCCATTACTCCTATACTCTGCATCTGCCGAAAGAGTTCTAGAGACTCCTCTCCTCGTCCCTTGGAAGAAAAACCTCCAATAACAGCACTCCAACTTATGATGTTAGGTCTCATAAATGGATGATTATTCAGCTGGGAAAATATTGTGAAAGCCTCATCACACAAACCAGATTCAGCATAACATGAGATCAAAGCATTCCAACTGACAAGGTTCTTGCTTTCCATCCCCAAAAACAATTTGTCTGCATCTTCTTCATGTCCACATTTTCCATACATGCATATTAGAGCATTTTCCACAAATAAGTAATCTTTGAAACCACCCCTTATAACATATCCATGAATCATCTTACCCCTGTCAACCACAGCCAAATCAGCACATACGGATAACACCACAGCAAGCACCTCAGCAGTAGTCCCAACTCCTCTAACCCTCATCATACCAAACAACTGTATGGTCTCTTCACGGCGGCCACAGCGAGCATGACTTGACAATAATGAAGTCCAAGTCACAGGGTTCGGCTCCAACCCCTCTAACTCCATCCTCCTAAACATCTCAGTAGCACCATCACAATCATAGTTAAAAGCATAACTGGAGACCATAGTATTCCACGAAACATAGCTTCTAACACGCATTCTATCAAACAACCGGCGGGCACAATCCATTCGACCAAGTTTCCCGTACATTCCTATCAACTCATTGACAACATGAAGATGATTCTGAAAACCCATTTGTAAAACATGACTATGCACATTCTTGGACAACTTAAGCCTATCCATAAACGCACAGGCCCTAATAACCAAAGGAAAAGTAAACCCATCTCCCAAAACCCCAAGGTTTTTCATTTTATCATACAGTTTGAGTGCTTGTTCATAGAACCCATGAGAGACATTAGCTCTAAGAATTGAATTCCACAAGAGCAAGTTTGATCTGCCCTCAACTGGGCCGGTGTCAAAAACTTTCTGGGCATCAAAGATGAGCCCAATGCGTGCATAAGCAGTCACAAGTTTGGCGGCCAAGAATTCCGACTGAGACGTGCCGGTGGTGATAATTTGGGCATGAACTTGTTTGCACTGTTTATGTCCAGTGCATTGCCGAAGAATGTGTTCAAAGAAATCAAGAAATTCATTGTGGGTGGTACAGGACGGGTGTGATATGATCTGGGTCTGATGAATATGGCGGGGTTTAGAGAAAGAACGGCTAAGTTTTGGTGGGAAACGGAAATGGGTATGATGGAGACGCGAAGAGGTTGATATGAAACGTTGAGACGAAGCATGAAGCATGAAGAAGTTGAGATTTTGAAAAACAGAGCCGTTGTCATCAAGAATTGGTGGTTGTTCTATCAGAAGTTCATAAGTTGGCGGGAGAAATAACTTGTTCGAGGCAGCTGAATATTTAAAAAGAACTAGCTTTTCTGTCCTTAAAAAAATTAACTTTTTTGTAAAATTTTTAAATTTTGAATTTTTGAAGTATTTACATGTTAATATACATTTTTTTTTTCACTTATCATAGTTTCTCATTTCATTTAACGTATCCATTCTCCATAAGATTTGAATTTGATATTCTTAAACAAAATAAAAACGGAGCGCTACTAGATCAAATTATCGTGACCATAAACTCAATATACTGAATCATAATTATGTTATATTATTACAATAGATTAACTATAACTAAAATGAGTACGTTTTCAGTAGAGAATCATTCACCAGTCCCATATGATGTTGCTGTTAAACTAAAATATTATTGACTTGTGGAATTGCCATTGCCTTTCAATATCGACTACTGAATTCCCGTATCAAAATATTTATTGTTCTAGAAAAATAGATAACACAAGGCCCTATATTGTTACAAAACACTCCATGATGTTGCTGCTCAATTTAGTGACTTTTACAAGTTAGTAGCCTCCCAAAGCATCCATATCTGGCACACGGCTAGGAGGTTTTTTCTCATTTGGTTTGTCCACCACAGCTGCCTCAGTTGTTGTCAACAGCAACGAAACACTGCAAAAGAGAACGCGTACTGGTTTGAGATAGCAGAACACCACATAGCAAAAGCGTTTATCACAAAACAGACCACCCATTTCACCTGGCAGCGTCTACCAAGGCGGTTCTAATGACTTTCAGAGGATCTATGATTCCAGCCTTCACCATGTCAACGAATTCCCCTATTCACAAGCACCACGATTAAGCAGCAGGAAAAGAAGCGGAGAATGTTTAGAACAGCCAAACTTGCGAATAAGTTCAGAAGCTGAAACTTTGATAAGATCTCACCAAAATGATGAAAAATGATAACAAAGCAAACATAGGAACTCAAAAGTTATTTTCTGGTATCAGTTTGTTATATAATGAACATATTTCAAGTGCTTTATATCTGTAATTGGGAGGAAAGTGTTTAAGAACAACTCAACTTGGCCAACATAAAGATGATTAAACCAAATAACAACAAAATCAAGATAGTTTAGAAACGACAGAGCTCAAGAACAGGTAATAAATGTCGTAAAGTTGGCCAAGATGTAAGTATTGAAATAAAGAAAAACAACATAGAAAATGAAAAACCAACCTTTGGCCGCATCATAACCCAATTTAGGATCATCTTGTTCCAACAATTTACCAAGAACCAGCGGACCATCAAAACCAGCATTTGAAACTATAGTGAACGTAGGTGCCTATTCCAAGTAAACAATATGTATACCGTCAGGAAAACTTACAAAAATAAACCCCCAAAAAGAAATGCCAAGAGACTCAATCGAAGTAAACCTTAAGAGCATTCTGGATTATTTGTACTCCTCTTCTTTGGTCTTCATTTTGCACTTGAAGGTTATCCAAAGCTTTTGTAGCATACAAGAGAGCAACACCACCACCTAAAGACAACACTCGTGCTTTTATTATGCGGGTAGAGATGAAAACATATTTGACTGACAAATGGCAAAATCAACCAACCTGGCACAATACCCTCTTCCACAGCTGCTCTTGTAGCATTTAAAGCATCCGTTACCCTATCTTTCCTTTCCCCGACTTCTGCCTCACTAACCCCTCCAACCTGTTAGAAGAAAAAGATATGTTAGTATCTGAGAGCATAAAATAAGCAACATATGACAGCAATTCATAAAGGTGAATAACATACCTTGAAAACAGCAACTCCACCAGATAGCTTTGACAGCCGCTCCTGTGCTTTCTCCTTGTCAAACATGGCGGTACTCTTCTCCATTGCTGTTCTCAACTGTAAAATATATTTAGTGTTATTAGACTGCTCAAAAACCTTTGACAGTGCTTTCTCTAATTTATCGGTTGATAATATCAGATCTACCTGAACCCTCATCATGGTCTCTCTTTAAAATTCATAAAAGTTATTTTAATCATGAATAAAGCTAAACAACTCTAAGAAAATATTAAGAATTAGCAAATATTTTACAATTTTACAGATGGTTTCGGGAAGTACAATATGAGAAACCTGGGCTCTTTTGCAGAGAAAAAAAAAACTTGAGAAACACTTCTGAAGGATCTTCATATTCAGCAATTAATAAATCTTTTGGGTCTTTTTAACTGGAAAATCAATTGTTTGTTCCAAGACTACTTAAGCTAGGACTTACTCCAGTGGGGAAAATACACAACAATAAAA